GTTGAAAACTAATGGTCTGTTACTTACTAAACGCTTACTATGGGTTCCACTATTAATTTTTTTTTTTTTTTTGGTTTTTCGAGACAGGGTTTCTCTGTAGCTTTGGAGGCTGTCCTGGAACTCACTTTGTAGACCAGGCTGGCCTCGAACTCACAGAGATCCGCCTGCCTCTGCCTCCCCAGTGCTGGGATTAAAGGCGTGTGCCACCAATGCCCGGCCTCCACTATTAAATGTATCCAGCTTCTTGTTCCCGCTACACACCCTCATTAACAAAGTCTCACTATATAGCTCAGGCTGGCATTAAATTCCATACTCTCTGTCTCAGTCTCCTGAGTGCTTACTGGTGGGTGCCACCCTGTCTTCATATGACAACTCTCAGGAAGATACTGCTATTATCCAGTCTGTAAGTGAAACTGAGGCCCAGGGAGTTGAGTGTCCTGTCGAGATCACAGACCTAGTGGCAGAGCTGAAACTCTTCAAGTCATTGAATTTCAGAGGCCAAGCTGTCGGAACTGTGTATGTTCTTCCTGCCACAGAGTAAGTGGCAGTGCTGCTCCTACAGAGCATCCTGCATAGCTCATTTCAAACACAGCTGGGTACCTTCCAGTACAACTGGGTATGCTTATACTGAGGATCCTCGGTGAGCTGAGCCTGTTATTCCCCCCTTTATATTGAATTGAATCCTTCTGTTATCAAAATGTCTCATCCCTCCCAGTAATGTTATTCAGTTTTATCTGTCTGCCTGTTGAAGTAAGACCAGTTTGAACATCTTAATTTTGATTGTGTTCTCTGTGCTGATCTGCAGCTGTCCTGGTGACACTTTAACACTCTTGTAATATGATTAGTGTCTTGTGTTTTGTCATCTCCTTGCTTAGCTGTATGCTTGACTTTAGCATTCTTGATTTTATATCTTTTTTTTTTTTCTGTCTGTAGCCTGGAATTAAACATGCTTTTGAGCGTGTGTGTGTGTGTGTGTGTGTGTGTGTGTGTGTGTGTGTGTGTGTATAATGAGTATCTGCTGAGGAAATGAAAATTTTAACTGTCAGCCCATTAACCACAAGATCTTTGCATTGTAGCTTTTTTGTGCTATATCTCATTTCTGTATGACTCAATAGCTGGTTATGCACCATATATATAAGAAAAAAACATTGAAAATGCCTATGATCCAAGAATTTTTTTTTTGTTTTTTTTGTTTTTTTTGTTTTTCGAGACAGGGTTTCTCTGTAGCTTTGGAGGCTGTCCTGGAACTCACTTTGTAGACCAGGCTGGCCTCGAACTCACAGAGATCCGCCTGCCTCTGCCTCCCAAGTGTTGGGATTACAGGCGTGCGCCACCATTGCCAGGCATGATCCAAGAATTTGGTGGGAGTTTTTGTGAAGCATTTTTTAAAACAATGGAGTTAAAGTATTATATTTTGAGCCATTTTATTGATTCTAAAGTGTTTTTGTATGCTGAAACTTCAAATATAGGGCTTTAAAATTTTTTATAAATTTGTGATGTTTTAGAAACAAATGTGATGATTGTAAGTAGTAACTTTTGGTCAAATAACCTCTCAGGATAATACCCACAGTTTGCAGTTTTTTATTTTAGAGGATAGGCCTATGTTCCTGTAGCTTCTGTTTAATTATTTCAGTGATGCTGAAAGTTTTGTTTCTGTTTTTTGTTTTGAGACAGGTTTTCTCTGTGTAACAGTCTTGGCCGTCCTGGAACTCACTTGGTAGACCAGGCTGGCCTCAAATTCACTGAAATCCACCTGCCTGTGCCTCCCAAGTGCTGGGATTAAAGGAGTTGTTTGTTTGCTTTTCTGTTTTTTAATGACACGAAGAAATACTAGATGGCTCAGCATGTAAGGCTGTTGAAGTCTGCTGGCTTGAGCTTGAGCCCTGGAACCCACATAGTAGAGAGAAGCAGTTCTGTGATGTTGTGCGCTGACCTTCATACGCACTCCCTACACACGTACAGAGTTATAATAATAATAACCATGATGAAGGTGACTTTAAGTGAGATGACTCAGCAGTAAAACGACCCGAGTTTGAACCCCTGAACCTACATGGTGGAATTAAAGAACCATGACACTTCTGCAAACTATCATCTTCACCCCACGAGTGTGCCATGGCATGCTTACACTCAAATACACACACACTAAATGCATGTTAAAATTTCTCCTGTAGTTTATTTAGTATTTGCATATGTGTGTGCATGAGTAGGCACATGGCATCTTTAGGTGTGGAGGGCGGAAGCTGTTGTTAAGGCATTTTGCAGGACACCTGGTTTGTTCTGTCAGTGCTGGGATCTGAAATCCCCCCAGTATCCACAGGATAGCTTAAAACTATCTAACTCCAGATCCAGAGAATGCAACACTTTCTTCTGGCCTTTCTTGGCACTACATGCATGTGATGCCCAGATACACGTGCAGACAAAGCACCCATACACATAAAACAAGTAAGAGATACGGAGAGAGATTGCTTGTACTGCTCTTTCAGAGGACCCGAGTTCAAGTTCTAGCACCCCAACCACCTGTAACCCAGTTCCTGGGGGATCCAACGCCTCCAAGAGCACCTGCACTCATGTCCAATCCACATGCAGACACATAGACACATAATTCGAAATAAATAACCTCGTTTTAAAGTAACCTGTGAGTATAGAGTTAAAAGACTCAAGTTGTGGGATTCCTGATGTGTAATTATTTGTGAAAAGTAATACTTGTAATCAATACTGCCCTTTGGTCAGGGACATATCCTGCATAGGAAGAATGTGATGATGTAGAGAGTCAAAAGCACTAAATTCAGGATGGTGTTTACCTTTGGAGGCAAGGTAGGTAGGGGAGAATGAGGGACGTGCCAAGGGGTTTCTGCCATGTCTGTAATTATTTCCTGTTTGTTTTTTTCTTGTTGTTCTCTACTTGCTTACCCAAAATGCTGATAGTTTTAAGTTAAGGTAGTATAGTCCCCTGCCAGCCTTTCACCCCTATTCCGTAGTTCTTTTCCCAGAATTGTTCAGGAGTGAAAAGCCTACTGATTTGTCTGAACCTTTCCAGTGATGTATACATGAACAGGAATTACATTTATCTAAAACTTTCTCCCATGTTTAAAAGTAAAATAATGATTCAGTTCCTTTTACATAGTTTTCTTTATGTAGTTTTATACCTATGTCTTTTCTTATAAATACATCTTAGAGATTATATTGTATCATTATCCTGTATAGTTTTTAATAAAAAGTGGTTCTTTTGTCAGCAATAATATTATTGTCATTATTCTACATTTTGGACTTTATTTGCTATTGTATATATTGCTTTTGTTGTATGCCATCTGATTAACCAACAGAGAATCCAAGTTTCTCCCTAATTCCTCTTTGCAAATATTCCTGGAGCTTCCCATGGAGGTTTTTATATGTAGTTCTTCTCAGTGCTCTTCTAGTTTGTGAGTCATGTTCCCTTTTAAGGAATGAATATGAGGGCGGCAGATGTGGGTTTCAGAGCTTGGGTTTCAGTCCCCTGCTTGTGCCTCTTACTGACAGTGTGGTCTTGGATGCTTGTCCTTCCAGGCCTTCATCTGTAAAGGGAATTTAGTACTCCTTTGCTTGTGATGTTCCATTTCGAATTGAATGGGTTAAAGCGACTAATACACAGGAAGCACTGCTAAGTATTAGCTATTTTCCATTCTTATTGTATTATTGATTCCTCACCTGTCTGCTACTCATGCTTCTGATGGAGAACCCTGCCCTCCACCACTGCCCTCCTTAGGCCTTGGTCTGTCTGGCTAGCGAAGGAGCCGCATCTCATTTTCAGGATCGCCTCTTTCAAAAGATGTTCTCCCAGCCCGCAGTGACACCCATTGAACTGCAGCTGCCTTCTCCCTATAGCACCAGGACTGTGGGCATAGCTAGGGCAGACGTGGGGTGAAATACAGCCTCCCACCTGCCTGGAACTGACTCTGCTGTGTCCTTGCTGCTCACAGTCACAGTCACAGAGTCTGTCATGGCCAGAACTGGCTTGCATATCCTCATGCAGGTGTTTTCCCTTGAGGCTCATTTGCTATATCTCCATTTTCTTGCCATGGAGAATCTGCATCCAGATGTGTGTCCAAGTCTATCAGAGATGAGGTCAGATTGAGGTTCTTTCTCGTGAGCTCCCAGGCCCCATGTAAACTGGGGTATGGGTAAGTCCAATGGACATTTATGGCAGTGTCTCCTAAGTGCCAGAGGATCTCCAAAGAAAAGAGTTCTAGTCCAGGGAGGATGCACATCAGGCTAGAGAGATAGCTTAGGCTCACAACCAGGGAGGATGCCGTTATTCCCACTTACAACTCACATTTGGATAGCAGTTTCTATTACAACTCAGTTTTCACTTGTTAGCTCCTCTAATTCTGAGCCACACATCAGTATCTCATTTTCATCTCTCCAGTGAAGAAACATTAGAAACATGATCCTGCTGGGCAGCGGTGGCACACGCCTTTAATCCCAGCCGCACTTGGGATGTATAGGCAGGCAATCAGGTCTCTGTGAGTTCCAGGATAGCCTGCTCTGCAGAGTGAGTTCCAGGACAGCTGGAGTTGTTACACAGGGAAACCCTGTCTCAAAAAACCAAAAGAAAAAGATGATCACGAGATGGGGGAAGAACTCAGCAGTAGAGTGTTACCTGGTGTAGATGCCGTCCTGACCTCATCCCCAAAACCATGAAGGAAGTAGGGTGGGGCTTGCCCAGCATGTGCAAGGCCCAAGGTTTAATCAAATACACTTTTTTTTTGTTGTTGTTGATTTCTTTGTATTGCTTTGGAGGCTGTCCTGGAACTCACTCTGTAGACCAGGCTGGTCTTGAACTCACAGAGATCCGCCTGCCTCTGCCTCCTGAGTGCTGGGATTAAAGGCGTGTGCCACCAACGCTGGTCAAATACACTTCTTATATATATATATATATATTTACATGTATTTGTGTATAAATAATTTATGTATAAACACATCTGTACATGTAAGACATACATGTTTATGTTGGTTTTTCTCAGAGCCACAATGGATACTGCTAGCCATAGCCTTGTCCTTCTGCAGCAGCTGAACATGCAACGAGAATTTGGTTTTCTGTGTGATTGCACAGTTGCAATTGGAGATGTTTACTTCAAAGCCCACAGAGCGGTACTTGCTGCTTTTTCCAACTATTTCAAGATGATATTTATTCACCAAACAAGGTAAGAATGTGCTCTTGTAAATGAGAATAATTTCTTTTTCTTTTCTTTTCTTTTTTTTTTTTTTTGGTTTTTCGAGACAGGGTTTCTCTGTGTAGTTTTGGAGGCTGTCCTGGCACTCGCTCTGTAGACCAGGCTGGCCTCGAACTCACAGAGATCCGCCTGCCTCTGCCTCCTGAGTGCTGGGATTAAAAGCGTGTGCCACCAACGCCCGGCAAGAATAATTTCTAATATTGTGATACATTATGTCTTATATAATTAGGGGTTACCCTAATACAAAATTTTAATTATAATAACTTTTGTATAACTAAAATTGATTAAGAGTTAGCCCACCAGGCATTGGTGGCGCACGCCTTTAATCCCAGCACTCGGGAGGCAGAGGCAGGTGGATCTCTGTAAGTTCGAGACCAGCCTGGACTACCAAGCGAGTTCCAGGACAGCCTCCAAAGCCACAGAGAAACCCTGTCTCGAAAAAACCAAAAAAAAAAAAAAAAAAAAAAAGTTAGCCCGGCAGGTGTAGTAGTGCATGCTTTTAATCTTACTGCTTGGTAGAGAGAGGCAAATGGATCTCTGAGTTTGACACCAACTTGTCTACGTAGTAAGTTCCAGTCCAGTCAAGGTTACCTAGGGAGATCCTGTCTTGAAAAAACATCACCAACAAAAAAGGCTTAACCAGTACCCAAGCATCAGTCCTATTGTGGGAAAGGCAACTGAACTGCTGATGGCCTACATAGGAGTAAACGGCTGATCAGTTGGGCTCTGATGTAGCTCTGTCTGAAGCTAAGCATCTTTTGTAAGTGCCAGGTTATTGATTTCTAGTGTAGCAGCATTTCAGTGTCCCATTCTACCACAACATTCCACATCACCAGTCAAAGATCATTTGTTTTCACATATTTTTGTTTTGTTGTTTTTAATCCTTTTGCATTTTTTAAAAATTTGGGTAACATGGCAATTCAAATTCTTAGCTCTGGGAAAAGATTAATTTTAGTCTAGCTTTAGTACATTCTAGAACATTGCCTTATTTATTTATTTGTTTATTTATAAATTTTGAGATAGGGCCTCACTAGGTTACCCAGGCTGGCCTTGAACTCACCCTGCATCCCAGAAGGGGGGACCTTGAACTTGTGACCCTCTTGCTTCAGCCTTCTGAGTAGTTGGGGCTATAGGTCCCAGCTACCAGACTTGGTTCCATGTATATCTGGTGTGTTGTTGTTTTGTTTGTTTTTAAAGGCCCTTACATGAAATTGAGGTTTCAAACCTCAATTATATATTTTTATTTAATTGTTCAGTCATTTAAATATTTCCTAGGTGTGAATGTTAAGAGATTGAGCTAGACCGTAGTAACTTCTCTGTTTTCAAGAGATCTAAAGTTTGATAGAGAATTAAATGTAAAGCAAATCATTGATCTCGCTTGTGTTAGTCACATTTCACTGCTGTGGCAAAATGCTTAAGAAAGCAAGGATTTGCGGCATGGTGGTGTGGTACATACCTTTAATCCCAGCACTCGGGAGGCGGCGGCAGGCAGATCTCTGTGAGTTCGAGACCAGCCTGGTCTACAGGATCTAGTTCCAGGACAGCCTCCACAGAGAAACCCTGTCTCGAAAAATGGAAGAAAAAAAAAAGAAAGAAAGAAAACAAGGATTTGTTTTGGCTGCAGTCTCAGGCTTTAGTCCACTGTGGTTGGCTGTGTTGCTTTTGAGACTGTAGGAAGGCAGAGGGCATGACAGAAAAGCTGCCCACTTCCTGGTAGGCAGGCAGAAAGCAGGAACTAGCCCTGGAAGGTGTGTTCTTAGTGCCTCTTCTTCCACCCTGGCCCTGTCTCCTAGCTTCTGCCTCCTGCCAGTAATGCCATCACACTGTGACTGAACTCGTGGAGCCCTCATGACTCTGTCACTTCCTCAGGGCCCATCAACCGGCTACCAGTTCTGTGGCGCGTGAGACTTTAGGGGACAGTTCGTCTTCACACCCTAACAATCAGCTTTCTTGTCTGTTAAATGCCGAAATAATATACTTGCCTTTTGTGTATTGAAGGATTAGATGGATTAGTATAGTTAAAATGCTTAGAACAGCCAGGAATGGTGGTTCACACCTTTAATCCCAGCACTGGGGAGGCAGAGGCAGGCAGATCTCCCAGTTTGAGGCCAGCCTGGTCTATAGAATGAGTTTCAGGATAGCCAGGGCTACAGAGAGAAACCCTGTCTTGGGGGAAAATGCTTAGGAACAGAGCTTTGCTGTTATTAATGTGATATCTAATGTCAGGATGTATTCAAAGTAAAGAGTTCTAGCAGGCCTGCTTTGAGAAGGTTGGAACATACTTTACAAATCTGAAAAACCAAAGTCCTTCAGGTATTGCAGAAAAATAATATAAGGAGCGGAAATGGCTGTATGTCATTTTTATTTTAATTTTGTTTGTTTATGTGTATGATTATTTGGCCTGCATGTTGTGAACTCTGTATGGGTGCTGGAAATGGAAGCCAGCTCCTCTGCCAGAGCAGCCAGTGTGCTTACCACTGAGCCGTCTCTCCAGCCCCCTGGTTTTGCATTCTGAGATAGGGTCTCGTTATAATTAACAATTGTAAATCACCCAACTTCATGGCAATAATTATATTCCCAATGTTATACCTGCAACTATCACTGTTTGCAAAACCCTTTCATTACCCTAAACAGAAACATCGTACCTATTAGGCAGTAATTTTCCATTCTCCTTCAGCCACCTGTAACTACCCCTTATCTAACTAGGTTTTCCCCCACCCCATATATCTCTGTCCCTGAGCCTTGTACATGGATGTTTGACCTGCATATATGTTTTCCACTTGCATGCCTGATGCCCACTAAGTCAGAAGAGGGCACTGGTTCCCTGAAACTGGAGTTATAGACAATTATGAGCCACATGTGGGTGCTGGGACTAAAACTAGGTCTTCTGGAAGAACAACAAGTGTCTTGTTGTTGTTGTTGTTGTTGAGGCAGGGCTTCTTTGTGTATCCCTTGCTGTAGGTGAGTGCTGGGGTCGAAGGCATGTGCCCCCATGCTCAGCTTTGTTTTAACTATTTCATGGACGTGGTAACATACAAGTTCTAGCTTTGTCTGGCTGTTAGTTAGCATATTTTCACACACTAGAACCTCATTGTTTTTTATGGCAGAGTAACATACCCTTGTATTTACAGCCCCATTTTGTTTATCCATTTTTCCTTCTCTTTTTTTGAAACAGGGTCTGTCTAGTAGCCTTGGCTGTTCTGGAATTCTCTACTTATATCGGGCCAGCCTCAGATTGAAGGAGAGTCGCCTGCCTCTGCCTCCCAAGTGCTGGGATTAAAGGTTGCACCACAACACTCAGCACTATTCATCTTTTGATGGGTATCTAGTTGTTTTCAGCTTTTAGCTACTGTAAACAATGCTGCACCAAACACCAGCATGTAGGTATCCTTTTGAGTTTCTGTGTTTAGTTCCTTTTGTTATGTGTTCCATACAAAAGCAGAGCACCTGTTTTAATCACCTAGACTAGATGATACTGCTTAGGAGTCACTCAGTGTTGAATTATCTGAATATCTGAAAAGCAGTTACAGATTTTTTGCTATTGTATTTCATCAAGGCAGATTGCCAGATTTAAACCTCTTAGGAAGAATTTGTTTTAACCTAAGATTGGTAAAAACCAAAAGGCCAACCAGGTTGTGTTTCATTTTGTGTGGGTTTGTTTTTGTTTTAACAGTGAATGCATAAAAATACAGCCAACTGACATCCAGCCCGATATATTCAGCTACTTGTTGCATATTATGTACACAGGAAAAGGGCCAAAACAGATTGTGGATCATAGTCGTTTGGAGGAAGGGATCCGATTTCTCCATGCTGACTACCTTTCCCACATTGCAACTGAAATGAATCAAGTATTCTCACCAGAGACTGTACAGACCTCAAATCTCTATGGTATACAGATTTCAACAACCCAGAAAGCAGCTGTCAAACAAGGGCTGGAGTTCAAAGAAACTCCTCCCAGTAGCAGTGGAAACCGAGCTGCTGTCCAAGGTGACCACCCCCAGCTGCAGCTCTCTCTTGCAATTGGGCTAGATGATGGAAGTGCCGAGCAGCAGAGGGCCCATCCTGCGGCCCAGGCTGTGGAGGAGCACCAGAAGCCCCCAGTGTCCATCAAACAGGAGAGATGTGATCCAGAGACTGTGATCTCCCAAGGCCACGCCTCGTCCTCTTCAGAAGTGACCGGTCCCTCTTTTACAGAAAACAATATCAGGGTCCACTTATGCCATTACTGTGGGGAGCGTTTCGAATCCCGCAGTAGCCTGAGGCAGCACCTGCACACCCATGTGTCTGGATCTCTCCCGTTTGGTGTTCCTGCGTCCATTTTGGAAAGTAACGACCTTGGTGAAGTACATCCTCTGGGCGACAGCAGTGAGGCTCTTGAATGCCGGAGGCTTAGCTCCTTCCTCGTCAAGGAGAACGAGCAGCAGCCGCCGCCGCCTGAGCACTCGAGCCGTGGCCCCGCAGAGCCTTTACAGATCAGTCAAGTGTCTTTGATCTCCAAAGACACAGAGCCAGTAGAATTAAACTGCAATTTTTCTTTTTCAAGAAAAAGAAAAATCAGTTGTACTATCTGTGGCCATAAATTTCTTCGAAAGAGCCAGTTACTGGAACACATGTATACACACAAAGGTAAATCTTACAGATACAACAGATGCCAAAGGTTTGGAAACTCATTGGCCCAGAGGTTTCAGCAGTATTGTGACAGCTGGTCCGATGTCCCCGTGAAAAGTTCTCGCTTGTCACAAGAACATTTAGACTTGCCTTGTGCCTTAGAGTCAGAACTCACACAAGGAAGTGTGGATACCATCCTTGTCGAGTAGTAGCTTCTCCTTTAGAATTTTTATACCAATCTTGAAAAAGATTCATGCACCATTTTTAATTCATAAAGTATTTACCTCCTCGTGGTCTGTTGACTTAAAATAATCTGTCCCTGGTTTTGAGCTTGTTCATACAAGTTCTTATTATAAGACATGGCTATTAAATGTAACTTTCCAATTATCCTATGAGCTTTTTTTATAAATTAAATCATAATTTGAAAAACGGAAATTAATGTAGAAACTTTGGAGTAACTGGTTGTTTATAAAATCTTTGTTTTTCCAGGTGGCAGAATCAGTAAGATGAACTTGACTATGAAGCAGATGAGATCTGCTTTAAAGTGTATTTTCAAGACTAGGAATGAAGCTAACCTGTAAGGGGGCTTGCCTAGCATGTGTGAGGCCCTAGGGTCAGTCTCCAGCACATACATACACGTGCTCACACACAAACACTAAACTGTCACTCTTGTCTTAGGTTCATGTGAATTATGTCCTCATGAAAATGATTTTTAAATATTTTCTTCCATATAGGAAATCAGTAGTTATTTTAATGTATAACTATATATTATAATGTATAAAAAGTTTGTTTTAAGACATGGCTATACAAAATCATGAGTAGTTTTAACTGTCTACTTCCTGGCAGTCTCTCTCTCTCTCTCTCTCTCTCTCTGTTTTGTTTTTCGAGACTGGGTTTCTCTGTGTAGTTTTTTTTTTTTTTTTTTTTGATTTTACGAGACAGGGTTTCTCTGTTTTGTTTTGGAGGCTGTCGGTCCAGCCTAGCCTCGAGCTCAGAGATCCACCTGCCTCTGCCTCCCGAGTGCTGGGATTAAAGGCATGCGCCACCACCGCCCGGCTCTCTGTGTAGTTTTGTAGCTCTGGCTGGCCACGAACTCACAGAGATTGGCCTGCCTCCGAGTACTGAGATTAAAGGCCTACACCACTACCCAGCTGCACCCCAGTCTCTTACATGGCCTCTTATTTACTTAACATCAAGTATACCTCATTTTTAATAAAAAATATTCCAGCTAGAAGAAAGGACTGGAGAAGCCAGTGATGATGAAGTCTTGAACAGGGAAACCAGTCCATACACTTAACTAAGCACAGAGGCAGGACTGCGAAGTAACCCTGGGCCAGGCGATCACATCTGGTATCCTTAGACACCGAGGGACAGATTTTTATCTGTTTACCCACTGTTAAAGAGACGAATAATAAGATACAAATCATCTACCTTAATGTGTCAGAATTTTCTAGGCTGTCTGGGCTTATGGTAGTTTTCTAAAAGTCACTCTTTAAGGTAATTTTGCAGCAGCATGGCTTCCACTTTTTCTGTTAGTAAAACCAGTGAAGTAGATACATTCAGTGTTCCAGACCTATCTAAAACCCACGCTGGCCGCTCTCCTTTTGTGAATACACTTAACTTCCCTTTTATAGTGGTGATGCTTAGAAACCTAAAACGCCAGGAAAATTGAAGTTGACGGACTAAATGATGGATTTTCTGTACCTAAAAAATAGCCCATCAGTTTCATTGTTTTTGCAGTGTTTAAATGTGAAGCTCTGGGCTGGGCGGTGGTGGCGCACGCCTTTAATCCCAGCACTAGGGAGGCAGAGGCAGGCGGATCTCTGTGAGTTCGAGGCCGGGCTGGACCGATAGCCTCCAAAACAATACAGAGAAACCCTGTCTCATAAAAAACCAAAAAAAAAAAAAAAAAAAAAAAAAGTGAAGCTCTGTACTCAAGGATAAGAAGGCAAGAATGACTGCAGAACAGGCCCCTCTCCTTCCCCTATCCTATTAAAGCATAAGCTTCACAGGTATTTGAAGAGCATCTAAGAAGGTCCTGATACCCCACCCTCACCCCCTAGTTTAGAAACAAGAGTCCTACTATGTTACCCGGGTTGGTCTTAAACTCTTGGGCACAAGCAGTTTTCTGCTTCAGCTTCCTGAGTAGCCAGAACCGTGGCCACGTGCCAACTCACAGATATTTGTATATATCTAATAAATGTTGTAATGCTTAGATTATAGCCACATGCAAAGTCTGAGCTACCCTCAGCCCCAAAAGAACACTTCTGAAGACATTTCTTTAAGGTCTGTGGGGAGCCTAGAGTAAGCCAGCTAATTCTGAAACAAAAGTTTTTCTGGGTAAACTGAGTTCAGGTGAATAACAAGGTAGTAGTTTCAGAGACGATGTTGCCTGCCTCTAGTCTCAGAACTCATGAGGCTGATCTCTTGTGAGTTCAAGGCCAGCCTGGTTTATAGTGTGAGCTCTAGACCAGTTAGAGCTACATAGTGAGACCCTGTCTCAAACAAACAAAAATCACACATGCATACAACACACCAAGCCAAAGTAGCAGTTGTACTGTTTTGTTTTTTTTTTTTTGAGATCATCTTCCTCCCCTGCCTCCTTAGTGCTGGGATTACAGGCTGTACCACCAGCCAGGCTTTCAGAGTGGTAACTTTTGAAGGCCAGGTGAAGAACCCCACTAGCTGTTGTCTTAAGGCAGTTGAATTTCTGATTTAGAGAATTAGCCTCTGGGGTCAGGACCCATATGTTCAGAGCAAAATCTAGCTAGTGGTAGGATGGATTGTATGGGGCTAGTTAAACAAGTATGCTGCTATGGGGGTCGCAATTATATGTAATCTTAAACTATTAATTCATCAGAGCAATACTATACTACCTTCAATAATTTAACCTTTATAGAAACCTGAATACCGATTCCCTACTTTTAATTTTTTTGTATTTTTGAGATACAGAGTCATGTTTATCCCAGGCTGGCCCCAAATGTACTATATAGCTGAAGATGGCTTTAAAGTCCCGATCTGCCTGCTCCACATCCAAGCACTGGCATTATCGGTGTGCCCCGCCCCCCATGCCCACCTCTCCCTAGGCTTCTCAGGTAACCTAACAACTCTCATTTACAACTTTTCAACTTTTCTCTAGTCTTCCCTGCTTACCAAATCATTAGTCCTACACACAAGGAGCCCGTGTATAGCCAAAGGGTGGGAATAGAGATTTGCTTTCAGGGTAGGTGAGTAGGTACAGCAGCTCCCAGACAAGCTGGAGAGGTGCCAGAAGAGTTGTGTACAGCTAACGGCCATGTTAGACTCTGTTTAAAGTGGAACTATATGTGTAAGCATTAATGAACATGTACTAGTGAATAAAGCGGGACCATACCTAGAGTCTGGGAGATGGCTCAGTGAGTAAAGTGATTGCTGCTCACGGATTTTAACCTGAGGTGAGAGCTAGGTATGGCAAGTCCCGGTGCTGGTGGGGGAGCAGACACAGGAAGACAGCAGGTGCTCTCTGGCCAGCCCCACAGCATGAAGCTCCAGGTTCAGTGAGACTTTTGTCTTAAAAACTGAGGTAGAGAAGTGATTGGGGAAGATGTGTGTTATCAGTCTCTGGTCTCAACACATGCCCACACGGGGGCACACACCCATGCACATACAGAATAAGTGGAACTCTATCTCTGTGAGCTGTAAGAAAACATTAGTTAACACTTGATTCCTCTTATTTATAAAGCTCCTTTTAATACTAAACCACAAAGACAAAATGCTGGGCCGTGCCCATCTGTAACTCCAGCTGTCGGTAGACTGAGGCAGAGCTATAAACTATAGACTAGCCTAGAGCTACATGGCAAGACCCTGACTCAAGAGAAGAAAAAAATTGATTTTTCTCAGTCCGTAATAACATTGTTTTAGGAAGTGGAGAAATATTAGTTTCATTTAATGGAAAAAGTTGCCCAAAGCTAGTGTTTACAGAGGCTTGCAGTACGTGGTATGGGACCTGCTGTTGCTTTGTTTTGGTTTTCTAAGAAAGATGTATTTATCTGTATGTGATGTGTTTTGTGTTTGGGTGTTTTGCTTACATGTGCTTCTGTGCACGGCATGCATGCAGTGCCCGTGGAGGCCAGGAAAGGGCACCAGATCTCTGGAACTCGTGGGTGCAGAAACTGAACCCAGGTCCTCCTATAGAGCAACAAGTGCCCTTAAGCACTGAGTCGTGTCTCCAGCCTGTTTTCTGTTTGTTTGTTTTGTTTTTTGGTTTTTGTTGTTGTTGTTGTTTTGAGGTGAGGTCTCATTGTATGGCCCTCCTCGTCACCCTCCTAAGTGCTGGAATGGCAGACATGCACTATCGTGCCCGCAGCCTGGATTGTTTGGTCTTAGTTTTTAAGGACATGATTCTTCATTGGAAGCAAAAAAAAGTCTTTTCATATTTTAATTTTTTTCCAGGAAAAAATACTCTTTGCCTCATCTGCAAAATGGAGCTTTGTGTCTGTCTTAAGCAGTGTGGTTTGTGTAATGGTTGCCAAGTTGAACCAGGAGTTGGCGGATGTATTTTGTTGCCAAATGTCGCCCTCTTGTGTTGAGGCGGGTAGTCTCTGCTGGGTAACATTTTGAAGGCGTGGTGGAGAAAAAAAAACCAGTTCTTACCAACAGTCCCTGTATCAGGCAGATACTAAACAGATCTTCGCTTGGGTCAGCTTTAAATCTTCCCTTCTTTCCGGATCCTGCATAGGGGTATTTTCTGGAGAAAAGTAGAGGCTGTCTCAGCATTTGTTCTTAGGAGAGCCCAGGAAATGCAGTCTGCCTTAAAGCCAATGTCGCTGTTTAATATGTAACCTTGAGATGGTTACTTCTCCGACTGACCTCCCAGGTGAGGTGGGTGTCAATAGCACCCATCTCACAGGAGTGCTGTAAGTAAAATTGTGTTAGTGTACTGACAAAAACCAACCTAGGAGGAAACTTGCATAGCTAAACCTCTTCAGTGTTCCATCCTGCAGATTCTAGAGCTTGTTTGAAGCAGTCATGCCTACTTAATAGACAACTAGCTGAGAAAACTAGTTTTTACAAAATACTCTGGAAGTAGCAGTGTTACTTGAATTCTCTCTCTACTGTATTATTTCCACCCTTTGACAAGGAAAGGGGGACTTACTATTATTGGGAATAAAATACACCAATTTCAGCATTAATGAAACTCCCCCAAATAATCATTTTCATATGAGAAAAGAAACAAGGAAAATGGAAAAAGTCTCACCATTTCTTGGATGAAGATGGTCTACATAGTAGTAGGTGAGGAAAATAAATGGAATGTGGACAATCATAGGAACTCACCAATGTCCTTCTGAGGTAACGCTGCAGAAGTGTTTACACATCACTGAAGGAAACACTGGGAGTCAGGAGGAGAGAACAGTGGAAGCTCGGACAGTTCCCGAAGCCTGCTTGTGCAGGCAGGT